GCAAAGAGAGAGAGAGAGAAAGAGAGAGACAACGGATGGGGCGGCAGCCCCTCCCCAGCGCCCAAGCCCTCCCCTTTGTCTGCCCCGCAGCAAGCTTTCAGGGCTCCGAAAAGAACCCTGACGTCGCGCCTGCGCGCCAAAGAACCGCCCTCCCTTTCCCCTGGGGTGACCGTCCCTGGTCTTCTTGCTCCACCTGGTGGCCGAACGTCCGCACTGCAGTCCGAAGGCCTCTGTCTTCCAGGCTCCGCCCCCCTGCCCCCCATGGGGCCCTAAGGGAGCTATATTGTATATGCTGCGCCCCCCCTCGGCGGCCCCGTCGTGGAACTGCGCCCAGCTGACCCAACGGGGAAGGTTGAGGCCACCCTGCGGCGGCGGCGCCCCCTAGTGGCTGAAATGGTGTGCTGAAGAAGCCTCCTGCGTGGCCCTCTGGCGGCCCATTTGGGTGAAGAGCCCTGCTTCTCTGCCATCTAGTGGCCACCTTTGAGAACGACACACCGCTGGCTCAAGGGAAAGGCCTAAGAAACCGGTACTCAGGGGCCACTGTGGTGGCACATCAGGCAACCCCTCCGTGTTTGCACTTGTGCCATTGCACCCCGTGAGTACCCTTTAGTGGCCACATCCAGGCCACTGAATGGAGTCTATCAAAAGGCTGCACTCCCAGAGCTGACTGTCCCTCTAGTGGCTGCCCTGGTGTAGTGCACTTCCAACAACACCCTCTGGTAGGTACATCAGAAAACAGCCCCCTTGAAAAACTGCCCCCTGGTGAGTAAATCAGAGAACTGTACTGCAAAACAGGCCTCACGGGTGGCTACCGCTGGGAATTGACTAACTCTGGATGACTTCTGGTGGATAAATTGGAAAACTGCACATGAAACAGTGCCTCCTGGTGGTGGGTGACATGTGCATCTCTACTCTTTGGTGGGCAAATGAGGAGAGGGCACTACGAAGCAGCGCCACCTGGTGGCTACACTGGCACAGTGTACCCCACGGCACCCTCTAGTGGCCAAACTGTATTCCTGCCTTGAGTGGGGTGGTGGTGGTTTGGACTTGATGTCCTTGTAAGGCCCCTTCGAACTTGGCTTTTATAGGATTTCTATGAAATCATAGACGTGCATGGCTTCCCACCCCAATCTGTTGAAAGGCCTAAGCCCAGAGGCCTGAGGTGCCCCCCAATGGATAAATCGTGGAACTGCACCATGGAACTTCATCCGTGGGTGGCGCTGTCCTTCGCTCTTCGGTGGCCACGCCGTCGTGAAACTTCTCGGGGGCTCTTGGGGGGGATCGATCCCAGGATCGTGCCAGGGTGCCACGTGGGGCTCGGGGTGCCCCCCCCAGGCCATGGGCGGTCAGTCTTCCCTCCTGCTCAGCTGATGGGGCTCCTTCCTCCGCTGGAGCCGGGTGGGTGGGTCTGGATCTCCCCCTTTACTTCCCGTGCCCCAATCCTGCCCACTGCGCCAGGCGGGTTCAGGCCAGCGCCGGACAGGGCAAGAACGGGGGGGGGAGTCCTGCTCGGCATTCACACCCCCCCAAAATCAGGACTGGGAGGGGCAGGAGAGAAAACACCCCAGCTCTTTCTGGGGTGGGGTGCGTTGGGGGGATGTTCCAGGGAACGCTCCAGTCCTGAGGCGGCTCTGGGGGCTCCTCAAGGCTGGCCCTGTCCCGCCCCACCAGTGCCCTTCCCCGGGGGGGGGCTGAGGGGGCAGCTGTGGGG